TTGCTGGGTAACTTCAGAGGGCCCTTAGAGTGTGGTGGCCCCCGGCAGCCACAGAGAATCTGCCCGTGGTGCCTGGGACACTCTTGCTGTCCTGTTCTTATGTGACTCATCCTGCCCTCTGCTAAAAGTGCCAGAGAGAGAACGAAAGTTGAGACCCAAAGGCGTGCTCTGGGGAATAAGTAATATTTTACTGATTTTTCTGGTTGAGTGGGTCTCGGGTTTAGAAAATTCCATATCTTAACCACAAGGTTAGAGCCTTCCAGTGAACTGAAAGATCAGATCAGGTTTCGTTTACTGAACATCTAAGTGCGAGGTGCCCCAGATGTGTTTTCAGCAGAGCAGCAGGGGTTTTCCCGTTTTATTTTTGTTTTTATTTATGTATTTATTTATTTTGGCAACAGTCTTGCTGTGTCACCTTGGCCGGAGTGCAGTGGCTGAATCTCGACTCACTGCAACCTCCACTTCCCGGGTTCAAGCAATTCTCATACATCAGCCTCCTGAGTAGCTGGGATTAGAGGCGCCTGCCACCATGCCCAGCTAATTTTTGTGTTTTTGGTAGAAACAGGTTTCACCATGTGACCAGGCTGGTCGCAATCTCCTGAGTTCACGTGATCCTCCTACCTTGGTCTCCCAAAGTGCTGGGATTGCAGGCATGAGCCACTGCACCCGGCTGGCTTTCCTGTTCTATAGATGAAGAAACTGAGGCCCATAAAGACTCTCCCATGGCTAGAGTTAGCAAGTGATGCCACGATGCAGCCTCCAAAGGCTGGGTGCTCTCTGCTGCCACGGCAGGAAAGCCGGGTGGGCTCCCCAGCCCTCACCTCGTGCCACCCTCACCAGGTCCAGCAGGGAGGTACACACCTCCCAGCCCCAGCTTTGCCCTGGGCTCCCCTGGAGAGGCCTCCTTTCTCTGTGTGAGCAACAGCAGGCTGTGGGAACTAAGTGTCAGGACTGCAGTTTGCTTTGTTTTCATTTTAATTCATTAGTGTTCCTCCCAGGCCCCGTCCCCACAGCCCAGGGACATGCCAATCACCGTCTTCCCTCCTGCCGGTGGCACCCCTGCCCTCCCCTGCATGAGTTCCTGAGATCCCGCCAGCATCTCCTCCAGCTTCAGAATATCTGCTGTTGGATCCCATTGTTCCCACATCATCCCAGGAATCCTCAATGGCAAAGCCTGTCATCTTGCCGCCGCCCATGTAGGGCCTGAATTCCAAGGCAGACACACCACCTGGCACAGCCTCGTGCGTGGCTGCATCTCCCCATGTTCCAGCAGGCATGGTGACCTTCTAAGACAGGGACAGCCATGACCAGCCACTTCCCTGAGCGGGTTCAGGTGTGGGAACGCCCTGGCGCTGGACATTTCTGAATCTTTCCATGTCGGAATCCAGGAAGTGCCACTCCTGGGAGGGCCAGAACCCCCTCCTGTGACTACGTCGCCTCATGCCAGCCACCTCCTACTGACTGCCAGTGTGCTGGGGAGGCCTGAGGGATGAGAGAGAAAATAATGAAAGCAGGGCCGTGGCAATGTGGGCCTGGCGGCTAGAGTTCTCTCAGCACTTTTTGTTTTAAGTCACGGGACCAGCCATGGTGGCTGACACCTATAATCCCAGCACTTTGGGAGGCCGAGGCAGGCAGATCAGTTGAAGTCAGGGATTTGAGACTATCCTGGCCAACATGGTGAAACCCCATCTCTACTAAAAATGCAAAAATTAGCTGGGCATGGTGACGGGCACCTGTAATCCCAGCTACTTGGGAGGCTGAGGCAGGAGTATCTCTTGAACTCAGGAGCAGAGGTTGCAGTCAGCCAAGATCACCTCCAATCTGGGTGACAAGAGTGAGACTCAATCTCAAAAAGAAGAAAGACATGATCTTGCTCTGTCACCTAGGCTGGAGTGCAGTGGTGCAGTCATAGCCCACAGCAGGCTTGACCTGGGCTCAAATGATCCTCAGGCCTCAGCCTCCAGAGTAGCTGGGACCACAGCCACCATACCTGGCCAATTTGTTTTTATTTTTTGTAGAGATGGGGATCTCACTGTTTTGCCCAGGCTGGGCTCAAGCTCCTGGACTCAAGCCATCCTTCCATCTCCCAAAGTGCTGAGATTACAGGCATGAGCCACTGTGCCAGCTGAGTTCTCTCAGCTTTGAGGAAAGCTCCCTGGAACGTGTCAGGATTTCCCCTCCCCTCACCTCCTCAAGTGAACAGTGACCAGCCCCTTCAACAGATGCGGGGTGATGGGGGCACACTGACCAGTATCAGTAGATACTCAGAGGGAGTCTGCCTCAGGGTTCCCCCTTAGAGTGACTGAGCCAGTTGCATAGCAGTTTCCATGCCCCAGGGCCTCAGTTTCCCCTCAGGCGATGTGCTTTCCTGTGTACCTCAATACACACATTGTCTCCCTCTGGTGTGGGCCAGCCCCATGAAAGGAGAGTTGAGACTGAGTGCCAGGTGTCTGTGAGTCATAAGCATTCGGGTTCCAAATTGTGTGTAGATGAATACAGATGTGGTGTGTGTGTGTGTGTGTGTGTGTGTGTGTGTGTGGTTATTTTTTATTTTTTGCTTCATTGCTCGTAAGTCACATTTTCCTATCTTCTGATCCAAGCTCTAAAAGCGTTTTGTGGTATAAAATCTCCCATCATCTGATCCACTCTACCGAAATAAACCAGCTCCCCTGCCGTCATCTTCCCTGAAAAGTACCCCTGCGTCATGCTCTAAGGCCGGCAGGGAGGGGCCGTGCCCACTTAAAACACTTCACCATAATCCCCCCAGCGCCCCCCGGTCCTCTCCACTCCCTGGGGGGCCGCTCCAGTTTCCTGGGCTGTTATTACTGGAGGACCAGCTGCTTCCTGCCACCCATCCATACAGACCTGGTCTGTCCGTCCTGGGCCTCACAGGCCTCCGCTTAGCTCATCTCATGGAAATATCATTTTAAAAAATAAACACTGGTTTGATTCGCACTTCCCTCTCGCCTTTGCTGTGTCTCCTGGCCTCCCACCACTGGGCACCACTTCATCTATTAAGGTGTTCTTGGCTCCCAGAGTTCCCCAGAGGTTGCGGGTCAGTGGCTGGCCGTCCACCTGTGGTGCCTCTGGGGCCGCTAATGGCCTCTGGGGCCACACAACTGTTTATTTCTTCTGAGTCCTGTGGTCATTTAAATGCCCCTTAAATGTGGCATGGGGGGAAGAGCGAGTGCCACCTGTACTGTGTGACCTCGGACAGGTTATTTCCCTCTCTGTACCCCATGGGTACTCGGTGAAGAGCCATCTCCCTCGTGGGCTGTAGGACTCTGCTCCTCCGAGACCTATGGCCGCTGCTAGGATAGGAGGTGTTGGTTCTTATGAATGACATAAAGTAGATGCTGAAGAGGAAAATATGTTTAAAGTTTTCTTGCAAGGCCTGGAGCAGTGGTTCATGCCTGTAATCCCAGCACTTTGGGGGGCTGAGACAGGTGGAGCACTTGAGCCCAGGAGTTGGAGACCAGCCTGGGCAACATAGCGAGACCTCACCTCTACAAATTAAAAATTAAAAAAATTAGCCAGGCATGGTGGTACCACCTGTAATCCTGGCTACCCCGGAGGCTGAGGCAGGAGAAGCACTTGAGCCCGGGAGTTGGGGTCTTCGGTGAGCTATGATCACATACTACACTGCAGCCTGGGTGACAGAGTGAGATCTTGTCCCTACAAATCAGTAAGTTTCCTTGCAAACCTTCTATGAACTTCAGTTGTCTTCCATCATCCATGCTTTGATTCTCTGAAGTCATCAGAAAGCAATTTGTAGGCGATAACATTTTGAGTAAAACATAACGTTAGTTCGATTAGTCCCAAATGGTGTCCTGACCACTGCAAAGCTTTGTGATTCAATTAGGTGGGTGTTTTGCGCCTGAGAAGCAGCAGGGTGTCACATTACGAGCAAAGACTCCAAAGTTTTGAACCCCTATTCAGCCACTTGCTGTGGCATTGGACAAGGGATTCAGGGTCTCTGTGCCTCAGTTTCCCTGGCTGTGAAATAGGTCTAAGAATAGTACCTACCGCCTAGGGTTGAGCTGGGGATTCACTGGGAAGGTGCTGTGTAAGTATTGTGTATTTTCTGGTGGTTAGTATATTATGATGTGGCAGACAGTTATGAAGTACAGATGTGACAGGTGACATTCATTATCTCCCTGCTACCGCTGTTCTCAACCAGCGGCAATTTTGACCTCTGGGGACACTTGGCAATGTTTGGAGACATTGTGGTTGTCACAGCATGGGGGAGGGGGGATGACCGGCATCTCCTGAGTAGAGGCCAGGGATGCTAAAATCCTTCACTGCAAAGGACAGTCCCTGTGGCAAAAAATTCTCTGACCCCAAATGTCAATGGTGCCATTAGAAACCTTGCCCTAATAGAAGCTTTCTGGTAGCACCAAAAGCCTCTCTCTTCTTTGTAGCACTTGCCTTGGTTATAATTTTGCATTTATTCATATGATAATTTGCTTACTACCCATCAAATCCCAGGATGCCACTTCTTGGCTGTGTGACCTTGGGCCCCTGGGACTGCCTCTCAGAACCTCCGTTTCCTTCATCTGCAAATGGGATTGTAAATATGTGATAAATCCAGAGTTGAGGTTAAGACCACAGGCTCCAGGGTTAAGACGTACCTGTGTTCAAGTTGCATCTGCTACTTACGTGGTGAACTTAGGCAAGTTACCTGATAAACCTCAGTTTCCTCCCCTGTGAAATGGGTCTAATAATTGCCTTCCTCATTCAGAGGGTGAACATGGGAATTAAAGGAGCTCATAATGGTGATAATTATTTTATTATTATTAAATCCACCATCCAACAACTGGTTTCCTTTGAGCCCTAAGTATGTGCCAGGCTCTTGGTGACTATGTAGTGGGCATTATGGGCTTAACGGGGCAATGTCTGCCTTGCAGAGCCCATCATCTCATGGTGTGGGAGGGGTCTGGCCTGGTGCATCCTCCAGCACTGACCTCTGACACTCCCACCCCACCCCTGCCCTCTTGCAGATCTGTGCCATCATTGGCGGGACCTTCACCGTCGCCGGCATTCTGGATTCATGCATCTTCACAGCCTCCGAGGCCTGGAAGAAGATCCAACTGGGCAAGATGCATTGACGCCGCACCCAGCCTAACAGCCGAGGACCCTGGGCATCGCCAGCCTTGCCTCCAGCGCCCTGTCTCCTTTGGCCCTCAATCTGGCCTCAAATCTGGCTGTGTCCCAAAGTGTGTGTGGGAGGTGGGGGGAAAGTAGAGGATGGCTCGATGTTTCGCAGCTACCTCTTTTCCCCGTGTTTCATTTTAGACAAATTACACTGCCTGAAGTTGCAGTTCCCCTTTCCCTGGGGAGCCCCAAGAGTAGAGTCAGGCAAGGGGTGGGGAGTCCAGGGATCTTGGGGACCCCTCCTAGGAGAGCTGCAGTCTCTTCCCTCTTAGGGGAATATCCCAGAACGCATATCGATCAGCTCTCAGCCAGGCTTCGACAATCTCGTGGCCCCCACTGTGTGGACACACTAATGATTTGGTTTCTCCCCTGGGCAGCCAACCCGCCCCAGAGGCACCAGACCTGGGCTGTCAGCTTTGGGACCAGGCTACTCCTTTATACACCCGGCACCTTCCACGAAAGATGGTACTTCCCAAGCAAACCCCTACAATTTGTCACTATAGATGGAACCCTGACTTCTGTCCCATCCCTTCCTGCCCAACCTAGAGCCCAGGCCTCAAGCCTTTACCCCCACCCCTGTCTTGTTCTTCTAAGACGCAGATGCCCAGTTGCTCAGCAGCAGCGGTAGAGACTTGAATCTGCCCACCAGTCACAAGGCGGGTCACAGATTCCTCTTCCTCTCTTCTCCTTGTTCCTCTGAACCCCCCACCAACGTGCCTCAGCCTGTGTGCTGTGTGGCAACAGCATTTCTTGGTGAAGGGGCTGGTTCCCACTGCCAAGACCTCCCACTGCTCTGCTGGGATCTGCAGTGGTAGGGAGTGGGGGTTGTGTGAAGGGGAAGTCATCTTTGGAGATCCAGATAGACATGGTTTGTGCACTTATGTCCAGATGGGAAGCATCCTTCCTGCGACCCTAAAATCATCGTGCAGCCTCTCTCAGACGGACGCCATCAGTCCCAAGGCCTTAGGTGGAGGAACAAAGGAGGCCAGCCCTGTCCTGTCTGTGGACCTCTACCTTCTGGACTCCCTATGGGTGCAGAGCACTTGGGTCTCTCTACAACCCAGTCTTGGCCCACTTGCCCACTGCTCCCCCATCAGCTGGTCACATGCCAACACATTCCCAGCCCCTGGGGCAGCTCCAGGGTGCCCCACCTGCTCCTGAGGTGGGTCCCTACCCTGCTGCTCCTCTTCATCCTTTCCCTTTTGTCCTGAAAGGGAGGGGCAATGGTCCAGGCATTAATTCCACCTAGGGAATTTTAGCTATGCCCTCATATCCCAGGGAGAGAGCCACACGCCTGTTTTCCATTTATAGCAAGATTGTTTGCATACTTTTGTAATGAAGGGGAGTGTCCAGTGGAAGGATTTTTAAAATTATCTTATGGATAGCTCAAGTCTCTGCCATTTGTAATTTTTGGCTCTAAGCTCCAATTGGAGAAGCTTCTCCTTGTGCATATGAGTTGACTGATGTTGTGAGTGTAAATGCATTTGGCTATTTCTGGTATCTGTGGCCACTTGGATGGATTTCTTTTTTTACATTCTGTTCCTCAGTTACAGAAAGGAGTCCCTTTGGTGTGTGAATATGTGTGCCTGTAGAGGGTGGGGTGGGGATGGAAATGTGTGGCATGCACATGAGTTGAAATTCTACTTTTATGCATTTTTTTGAAAAAAAAAAAAAAAACTCGGAGGACATAGGGGATGTCAGTTTCCTATGGAAGAGACACCTCTGACCTGTTATTCTTATAATCAAAATCTCAAGGGAAAAAAATGTTTTAGTTCTTTCACCACTCATTGGGTTCAACTAGATTAAAAGGCTGATTTTCAGAAATATTATGGTGTGATTCTGTCTACCTTGATTGGGGCTGGGTAACCCAGAGGCTGGAATCACAGCCAGAATGGAATTCACTTCTAGAGGAGAGAAGATAGAAGAGTTGAAAAGGAGATCTGTGAGGATGATCAGAAAGTCAAACACCCTCTGGCCAGGCACGGTGGCTCACGCCTGTAATCCCAACACTTTGGGAGGCCGAGGCGGGTGGATCACCTGAGGTCAGGAGTTCGAAACCAGCCTGGCCAACATGGTGAAACCCCATCTCTACTAAAAATACAAAAATTAGCTGGGCATGGTGGCAGGCACCTGTAATCCCAGCTACTGGGGAGGCTGAAGCAAGGAGAATCGCTTGAACCTGGGAGGCGGAGGTTGCAGTGAGCTGAGATCACACCATTGCACTCTAGCCTGGGGAACAGAGTGAGACTCCATCTCAAAAAAAAGAAAAAAAGAAAGAAAAGAAGAAAGTCAAGTCCCTTAGATGAAGCCCTCCCTTTATTGAGCCCTCCAGAATGTTCTTGGGTCTACTACCTTCTAGCTATGCAGCCTCAGTCCAGGTCCTTAACCTCTCAGTGCCTCAGATTTGTTGGATGAAAACGAGGATAGTAATAAAACTACCACATAGGGCTATTTCAGAAATAGAATCTCTAATATGTGCACAGAAATATCAGAATGAGATTGTCTGTGCAGAAGAGTGTTTATTGCTGGTACACAGTAAGTTTTCAAAAATGGTGATTGTACCATTACGAGCATTCCCAAATAGGATATAGTCTTCTTGAGAACAAGACTAACCTTCTTCTTTAGAGCTCTGAGCTAAGGGCTCCATAAATGAAAGGGATTCGTAAATTCTTGATTTCAAAGGACCTGGCGCTCCTTCTTCAACCCTAAGCTCAGCAGTGAGAGATCATCATCCGCTATGAGCAATGGACTTCCATGGATCTTTCCCATCTTACTGCCCAGTCCTGCAAGACTTTCATCGGAACAGCACTAACGCGGATGAACACACCAGAGGTGAATGTGAGAGGGAATCAGTCTGCGAGAAACTCTTCACTAACTCTCCCCATGCTCTCGCTCTTACATACTGATACTTGAGTTATGTGTGTTCCCAAACCTGTTCATACCAGTTGTGCTTTTATACTGGTAGGATGTGATTTGGGGAACTATTAGTTAAACCAGTGAACTGTGAGAAATGAACCTAGTGAAACTAAGTTGAATGCTTGAGAGAGACTTGATTAAGGTGAGTTGTTACCCTTCCTACCTCAAAATGTCACTGAATTAGAAGTGAACAAGACTACTGTAAAAGATTTGGGAGACCGGGCGCGGTGGTTCACACCTATAATCCCAGCACTTTGAGAGGCTGAGGTAAGAGGACTGCTTGAGCCCAGGAGTTTGAGACCAGCCTGGGCAACATGATGAAACCCTGTCTCTAAAAAAATACAAAAAGTAGTGGGTGTGGTGGCACACGCCTGTAGTCCCAGCTACCCGGGAGGCTGCGGCAGGGGAAGCGGGGGAGTGGTAGAGGCTGCAGTGAACCAAGATCTAACCATTGCACTCCAGCCTGGGTTGCAGAGTGAGACTCTGTCTCAAAAAAGAAAGGGAGGGAGGGAGAGGGAAGGGGGCTGTGGAGAGGGAGAGAGACAGAGAAAGGAACAACTGAAGCTTTCTGGTTGGTTTATGTAGGGAAAGTGAAGGTGAACACCGATACAGGTTTCTCAGTGGTAAAGCCTTAGTCCAGGGTCATTGTCGAATGTGTTTTACGTTGGCATACAACATTTAAGGGATGGAGGCCATTTTTTAAATTTCTCCTTTCAACGAACTTTTCCAATTGTCTAACCAGATGTGGATTACAGGGGTTTCACATAAGAGGCTTTCTAAATCAGGATTACAGAGCAAAACCCTACAGGGGTGTGTGATAGGTTGGGAGCTGTCGTGGTCCAGGCAGAAATGGCTTCCGTGGGAAGGTGTTGCAGAAGAGGTGTCTCTGGAGACGTGCTTCATGAGGAGAGAAGCTGAAGTGTTGCAGCCAACACTGGCTGGGGTGGGTGAAACCTGGGAAGAGGGGGTGAAACCTGGGAAGAAATGGGGTGTGGCACTAGGGTTCATAAATAGTAGCTGTGGTTAGTCTTTTTTGTTTGTTTGTTTTTTGAGATGGAGTCTTGCTCTTGTCGCCCAGGCTGGAGTGCAATGGTGCAATACCGGCTCACGGCAACATCCGCCTCCCAGATTCAAGCAGTTCTCCTGTCTCAGCCTCCTGAATAGCTAGGATTTCAGGCATGCACCACCACACCCAGCTAATTTTTGTATTTTTAGGAGAAACGAGGTTTCACCATATTGGTCAGGCTGGTCTGGAACTCCTGACCTCAGGTGATCCGCCCACCTCAGCCTCCCAAGGTGCTGGGATTACAGGCGTGAGCCATGTCACCCAGCCTGTGGTTAGTTTTTGTTACTATATGTTACAAATAATTTTTAAGTTCTTGCCAGAAACAATGTGGCAGGCCACTGGAAGTCTGAATCCCTTCTTAAGAAACTTTTTGTTTTGTTCTGTTTTGTTTTGTTTTGTTTTTTGAGACGGTGTCTTGCTCTGTCGCCCAGGCTGGAGTGCGGTGGTGCGATCTCAGCTCACTGCAAGCTCCGCCTCCCGGATTCACGCCATTCTCCTGCCTCAGCCTCCCAAGTAGCTGGGACTACAGGCACCCGCCACCACCCCCGGCTAATTTTTTTGTATTTTTAGTAGAGACAGGGTTTCACCGTGTCAGCCAGGATGGTCTCGGTCTCCTGACCTCGTGATCCACCCGTCTCGGCCTCCCAAAGTGCTGGGATTACAGGCGTGAGCCACCGCGCCCGGCAGAAACTGGTCATTTCTTCCAGAAGGTTCATCAGCTGCTGCCGCAGTTAGATGCAGTAGTCCAGGAACGTGAGTGGGGATGTGTGTGGACAGGAACACTCACTGGAGACCCTTTTTTCTTGCCCCAGCAGTTGTTTCCTGTCAGCTATGGAGTGATGAGGTCATTCACTTCGTTCTGGCCAGTCATTGATATGATTTGGCATTCTCTGCATGCCAGGCAAGAGTGACTGCTCTTCAGGCCAGATCTTCCTTCGAGATGGATGTTATCTCCTTTTTAGGAAGGAGGAAACAGAGAGACCTCGTAACTTGGCGTGGCCACACAGTGAGTCACGCAGTTAGTAAGGATGGAATTCATACCCAGGTCTGCCTGACTCTGGGATTATGAAGAATTACATGGTTCCACCTCAGTCCCAAGGTCATCTTTGCTGTGCCAAAAGGGAAAACTGGAAATAGGGGTGGTCAGAGCAGGAGGTGCTTTTTTTGGTTTTGTTTTTCCTTTAAAACAACCTGCAGAAAAAATCTAAAACATTCGCAGGGATAGCGTTCTTCACAATTTTTTAAATCTTCAAAATGTAATTTTAATTACACAAATAACACAGGCTCATAAGCCCACTGGAGGAAAATCATAAAATACTAAAAAAAGTAAAAGGGGAAAAACGAAAGTCACCCATAATCCCACTAATCAGAGATGATCTTTTTTTTATTATTATTATACTTTAAGTTCTAGGGTACATGTGCACAACGTGTAGGTTTGTTACGTATGTATACATGTGCCATGTTGGTGTGCTGCACCCATTAACTCGTTATTTACATTAGGTATATCTCCTAATGCTATCCTTCCCCCCGCCTCCGCCACAATAGGCCCCGGTGTGTGATGTTCCCCTTCCTGTGTCCAAGTGATCTCATTGTTCAATTCCCACCTATGAGTGAGAACATGCAGTGTTTGGTTTCAGAGATGATCATTTAATGATGACATTTTAGTGATGCCTTTTGATAAGCAAAATGGGATCATACTGTTCATATTACTCTGTAGCTTAGCCCTCTCTTAACAGACATCCTTCTAGGTTAATAAATATGGCTCGCATTATTATCTTTATGGGCTGCAAGATAAATAATAACAATATTGAGCATCTAATGGTAGATTATGTCCATCGTTTGTTCCCATCTCACTCAGAGCCTCAGTTTTCCCACCTGTAAAAGGGACGATTCATACCGTTAACAGACTGAAATGAGGTAATGCTTGTAAACCTGTTAGCACAATGCCTGACAGTAAATGCTCAGCCCATTAAGAAGAGCTATTATTATTCCTCTAATAAATAAATAAATAAATTCCAACATTTATTAAGTTCTTCCTCTGTACCAGGTATTATGCTAAGGGTTCATTTAATCGTGACACCAGGCTGGATTACAGGTGGCTCACACCTGTAATCCCAGCACTTTGGGAGGCTGAGGCAGGTGGATTGTTTGAGGTCATGAGTTCAAGACCAGCCTAACCAACATGGTGAAACCCTGTCTCTACTAAAAATACAAAAATTAGCCGGGTGTGGTGGTGTGCGCCTGTAGTCCCAGCTACTCAGGAGGCTGAGGCAGGAAAATCACTGGAACCCCAGAGGTGGAGGTTGCAGTGAGCCGAGATTGCACCACTGCACTCCAGCCTGGGTGACAGAGTGAGACTCTAGCTCAAAAAAAAAAAAAAAAGGCCAGGCGCGGTGGCTCACACCTGTAATCCCAGCACTTTGGGAAGCCAAGGTGGGCAGATCATGAGGTCAGGAGATTGAGACCATCCTGGCTAACATGGTGAAACCCCGTCTCTACTAAAAAATACAAAAAATTAGCTGGGCGTGGTGGTGGGCACCTGTAGTCCCAGCTACTGGGGAGGCTGAGGCAGGAGAATGGCGTGAATCCAGGAGGCGGAGTTTGCAGTGAGCCGAGATCGCACTACTGCACTCCAGCCTGGATGACAGAGTTAGACTCCGTCTCAAAAAAAAAAAAAAAAAAAATTCCTAACGCCAAACCAATGAGGTAAGTACTTTGTTATTCCTATTTTCTCAGATGGGAATAAAGTGAGTGACCAAAAGGCTGAATATCTTCTCCAAAGCCAAAGAGCCAGGAAATGGCGGAGATCCAATGGCCCAGGCGATTTGGGTGTCAGGGCTCAAGCACCTCCCCATGCAGCCACTCCCTCCGAGAAATAAAAGTACTCACCAGACACTTCCTCTGTGCTAGGCGCTTGAGTTCCTGCACATGTTTCCAGGGGTGGGCATGAGACAAGCCAGCCAGTCCCACTACATCATGTAGTTAGAATGAGAGCCTCCAGCTCTTGTCATCCAGGATGTCATTGTGCCTATTTTAATTTTACTGAACCACACAGCATGTTAAAAACAAAACAAAACAAAACAAAAATCCTTCCCTGCCCTGCTTGATCATGGATACTCCTTGTTGATCTTGGGTTCACAAGATCTATCTTCACATGGCTTTCCTTTACCAGTGAGGCGCTTAACTTCTTGGGAGCACTCCTTCCCAGATCTCTTTAATCAAGCCTTGTACCTGCTCCATGTGGGTACCAAATAAATTGATGAGCAAATGAATGAATGTCTGAGTAAATAAGTAGGTGAATGACAATAAATGGATATGTAATAGAGAAGTGAGTGAATAAACAGAACCAGTGAGTAAGTGAAGGAATGAACGAACTCCTTGGGGCAGGGCATGGGTTTGACTGACACCTAAGGATTGTTCTGAGGAGAACCTCTGACCTTTTCTGTGTGTGCACTGTCAGGCCAGCATCTGCTCCGGGGTTGCCGCTGGGAAATGACTTCCTTTCTTAGGACTGCCAAACGAAGAGGCACTTGGGTCCAGTCTGATTCTACAACCCCACTCTTCCAAACAGAGCTAAACAACTAGGGGGGAGTTTTGCAGAGCCAGGTGTTTGATTCACAACAATCCTCAAGCATTAGCGCACCTCAAAATCTTGGGGGGTAGGGATGGGGGAAGAATGCTTGCTTTAAATTCAGATGTGTCCCATCCTACCACTCTCTGGTTTTGTGGGACGGTGGTGGAGCCTGAAAATCTGTAATTTGAACAGGCTTCTCAGTGATTCTGAAGAAGCCGCTCTACAGATGGCATTTGGAGCCTCATGATGTTTAAAACAAGGGACAGGCGGGGCACGGTGACTAAAGCCTGTAATCTTATCACTTTGGGAGGCTGAGGCAGGAGGATCACTTGAACCCTGGAGTCCAAGACCAGCCTGGGCAACATAGTGAAACTCCACCGCTGCAAAAAATAAAAATAAAAAAATTAGCCAAGCTGGGCGAGGTGGCTCACGCCTGTAATCCCTGCACTTTGGGAGGCCGAGGCGGGCGGATCACAAGGTCAGGAGATCGAGACCATCTGGCTAACACAGTGAAACCCCGTCTCTACTAAAAATACAAAAAATTAGCTGGGTGTGGTGGCGGGCACCTGTAGTCCCATCTGCTGGGGAGGCTGAGGCAGGAGAATGGCGTGAACCCAGGAGGCAGAGCTTTCAGTGAGCCGAGATCACGCCACTGCACTCCAGCCTGGGCGACAGAGTGAGACTCTGTCTCAAAAAAAATAAAAAATTAGCCAAGTGTGGTGGTGTACATCTGTAGTCCTAGCTACTTGGGAGGCTGAGGCAGGAGGATCGCTTGAGCCCGGGAGGCTGAGGCTGCAGTGAGCTGTGTTTGCAGCACTGCACCCCAGCCTGAGTGACAGAGTGAAACCCTATCTCAAAATATAAAATAAAAAAATAAATAAAACACCAGACAATATATACGCCTAGACGACCTCTGCAGCCTCCTGTGCGGGGAAAAACGGGGGCAAAGAGAGTTTGCGGTAGTGAGAGACTACTGACAGGTGTGCCTATTAAAAGAACACCCGTAAGCCTCTACTGCAGGCCCTACACAAGTAGGCCCTTGTTCTCACTGGCATCGCGCTCCCGGGGACCCTAGGAACGAGACACTGCGATCCCACCCCAAGCCGCATGGGGCGCCATTCTGCTTCGCTCTTACGGAAATGGGGCTTCGATGTCTTTCCGCGCTTGCGCGGCACGGAAACTAATTTCCGGTCCTGCGCACTCAGGGTCTGAGGCCCTAGTGGCCGGGTGAGTGAGTGGAGGTTGGCGTTTTCTCGGACTCTGAAGCCCACTGGCCCGTTAGACCCTGCCCTGTGTGTGGCGGGGACACATGTCACCCCACAGCTCTCTTTGCGTGACCTCCCGACCACTCATTCCTGCCTAACCCTAGTATTCCTTCCTTAGCCTCAAGGTCCCAGTGCCACCCTCTCCCCACGACCCCTTTGGTCAGGCATGCGACCTCCACATGTCCCACTTTGTGTCATAGACCACTCGCATCTCTTCTCCCTCAGTTGCCTTTTCAGAGGTCACCTCCCCCGTAGAGCCTCTGTGCGGGGATGAGGAGGAGTGTCTTGGGTTGAGAACAGGCCACTGAGCGCCCCTTCATTCCGTCTCTCTCCGCCCTTTGTAGAGGGTCACCATGAAGTTCAATCCCTTCGTGACGTCGGACCGCAGCAAAAACCGCAAACGTCACTTCAATGCCCCCTCACACGTGCGCAGGAAGATCATGTCATCCCCGCTCTCCAAGGAGCTGCGGCAGAAGTACAATGTCCGCTCCATGCCCATCCGCAAGGACGACGAGGTCCAGGTACGTCTCCCTCCGGCTCTAGTGGCGCTCGGACACCTTTGCCTGAGAACGTCATGTGTTCTTGGTCCTGGAGCAGTCACAGACTCACGTGCCTCAGGACTCTGGCAAATAGTGTGACCCTTCAGATGTGTTAGGCCAGAGATAGGGTTCAGAGCCACCAGAGAGTGCCTGCGTTGCTTTAGAGCATTTAACTATTTAATAGTTATAGTAAAATTTAATAAAACAGTATGTCAGCCAAGCAAAAACCTCCTTTTTTGTTTGTTTTGTAGACATAGGGTCTTGCTATGTTGCCCAGGCTGGTCTCGGAACTCCTGACCTCAAGTGATCCTCCCACCTCAGCCTCCCAAAGCACTGGGATTACAGGTGTGAGCCACCGTGCCCCGCCATAAATGCTTTTGATTTAAACTTCTGGCTACTAGTTTGCCAAGTGTTGTTGCCCAAGGTGGCTTGTTGAAGCAGACTTTGTAGGGGAAAGTGTTGCAGTGAGAGTAGTGTTCTAGTGTATTTGGGTGTAGTGGGATTGATGGACAGGGATTTGTGGGAGCTGGCCATGTGATAGCATTGGATTTGGCAGGAGAAATGGTCAAGATGCAGCGAGTCACTCTTTCATAATTTCTAAAAGAGTGGCCCATGTGAGAACATGCAAGCCTTCTGTTCTCTGTGATGGGCGCTTAGAATACATGAAGGGGGAAGGGAGCTGGCCATGAGTGAAATAAGCAGGGGCTGGATTCATTCCTCAAAGGAGTATTTATGGAGCACTTACCAGACATTGTTCTAGAACAAGATTGACAAGGCCCGTGTTCTCATGGAGGTCATGTTTTAGAGCAGGGTTTCCTAGCCTCAGTGCTATTGATATCTTGGACTGGATAATTGTTGTCGGGGAGTGGTGAGGGGCTCTTCTGTGCATTGTAGAATGTTTAGCAGCATCCCTGGCCTCTCCCCACTAGATGCCAGTGGCATTCCCTCTGTTCACAGTTGTGACAAGCAAAAATATTTCCAGATATTGCCAAATGCTCCCTGGGGGGCAAAATCAACTCTTCCCTCGCTCAGTTAAGAACTATTGTCTTAAAGAATGAAATGACATAAGGTGATGAGGCCTGGTGTATCATCTGAGACACTGGGACTCTTTGAAGGTTTGGGGATATGTTAAGGAGGAAAAAATGTGGAGTTAAGCTGGGAGTGTGACAGGAAGAGTGGAAAGAGTAGTTCAGAGGTATGATCAGCAGTTTCAACCCCCTCTGCCCTGGATCCTTCCCATCAGACATGTTCTAGAATGGGGGAATTGCAAGTACTTATAGGGGATAGGTAGGGATAGCTCTCACTTCCCTAAATAAGGGAAGTGAGCTGAAAAGAAAATGGCAAACTGGAAAGCTCAAGCCTCACATATAAGATATAATCATCTACCTTTAGCCCGTGGGTGCCTGGGGGAAATGCAGGCCCATTGTTAAATTCTTTGATTTTCAAAGAGAGCTGGAAAATTTGGATTCACTTCCCTAGCCCCATATTTCCTTCCAGCTATTACTCTGTTCTCTATTCATAACCAACCTCCTCAAGAGAGCTGTCTCCACTTCCTCATCTCCCATTCACTCTTGGATACTCTTCAGTCTATTCCCTGTGCCCACTGCATTATAGAACCTACTTTGGCATAGATCACCAATAACATCTTCGTGACTGAATCCAATGGACACATCTAGCATCTCTTTCTGCTCTGTGTTCTCTATGTAGGTAGAGAATAGGTAATAATCCATTCTTAGAGCTTTAAATGTCTGCTCTGTGCTAACAGCTCCCACTTTTATATCCCAGTCCAGACCACTTTAGACAACCTATACATCTGACTACCTACAACACAGACCTATAGGTCTGACTATCTACAGAACATCTCTATTTAGGTAGCCCATTGACATTTCAAGCTTCTTATCCAAGAGTACTCTTGATCCTAACACCCTCTGCCTCCAGAATCCAACTCTCCTCCCATCTTCCACATCTCCAGTAAGTGCCATTTGTATCTCCCCAGTTGCATATGCCCCTAAACCTTTGTTATCTTTAACAATGCTCCTTAACCCCCTCTTGTTATCCACCATCAAGGCTTGTTGATTCTACCTCCAAGGTAAGTCTTGAACCTATTTCCAGTCCAGTTCAAGGCAGCATTGCAGCTCCCTCTCTTACCTTTGTCCATTTTCCAGAGTGGTATTATTTGCAAATCAGGTCCTATTTAAAACCTTTGACAGGCTGGGCATGATGGCTCACGCCTGTAATCCTAGCAGTTTGGGAGGCCGAGGCAGGTGGATCACCTGAGCTCAGGAGTTTGAGACCAGCCTGGGAAACATGGTGAAACTCCATCTCTACTAAAAATACAAAAAATTAGCCGGGTGTGGTGGTGCACACCTGTAATCCCAGCTACTTGGGAGGCTGAGGCATGAGAATCACTTGAACCCGGGAGGCAGAGGTTGCAGTGAACCAAGATTGTGCCATTGCACTCCAGCCTGGGTAAGAGTGAGACTCTGTCTCAAAAAGAAAAAAAAAAAAAAAAACGAAAACGGCCAGGCACAGTGGCTCACGCCTGTAATCCCAGCACTTTGGGAGGCCGAGGCGAGCGAATCACAAGGTCAGGAGATTGAGACCATCCTGGCTAACACGGTAAAACCCGTCTCTACTAAAAATACAAAAAATTAGCCGAGCGTGGTGGCGGGCGCCTGTAGTCCCAACTACCTGGGAGACTGAGGCAGGAGAATGGCATGAACCCGGGAGGTGGAGCTTGCAGTGAGCTGAGATCGCGCCACTGCATTCCAGCCTGGGTGATGAGCGAAACTCCATCTCAAAAAAAAAAAAAAAAAAAAACCCTTTGGCAGTTTTATATCTGCCAAAACTGACCTGTGCATTTTACTTTATGTAAGTGATGCCTCAGTTAAAAATAAAACGATTTCAAATTGTGTTTATTGCTGTGAAGAAAATACAAAGGATGCTACCATATTAATTAAAGGACCTGAAAAGGCTTCTCTGAGGAGCTAATAAATTTAAGAGAAGACCTGAAAAGTGAGGAGTTAGCCAGGTGCTTACCAGTGGTGCCTGATGTGCTTATAAAATCTAAAATCATGGCCAGGCGCAGTGGCTCACACCTGTAATCCTAACACTTTGGGAGGTTGAGGTGGGTGAATCATCTGAGGTCAGCAGTTCAAGACCAGCCTGGCCAACATGGTGAAACCCCGTGTCTACTAGAAATACAAAAATTAACCAGGTGTGGTGGCACACGCCTGTAATCCCAACTACTCAGGAGGCTGAGGCAGGGGAATCGCTTTAACCTAGGAGGTGGAGGTTGCAGAGAGCCAAGATTACGCCACTGCACTCCAGCCTGGGCGACAGAGCGAGACTCCATCTCAAAAAAAAAAAAGAAATCCTGGCTCCACACCTACACATTTACCTGTAGTTCCGCCCCTCTTATTTTCTTTCCCTCCTGTTACAATAAAAGAAACATCCCAGGCCTGGTGCAGTGGCTCACGCCTGTAATCTCAGCACTTTGAGAGGCCAAGACGGGTGGATCACTTGAGGCCAGGAGTTCGAGACCAGCCTGGCCAACATGGCGAAATTCTGTCTCTACTAAAAATACAAAAATTAGCTGGACATGATGGCACATGCCTGTAATCCCAGCTACAAGGGAGGCTGAGGCAATGAGATATCACTTGAACCCAGAAGGCGGGGGTTGCAGTGAGCCAAGATCACACCACTGTACTCCAGCATGGGTAACACAGCAAGTCTCTGTCTCAAAAACACAAAAAAAGAAATATCCCTATTTCTCCTTAAGCCTAATTCATCTGCCGCTGGGTGCTGCTCCATTCTTCTCTTGGAGCTTTTTTGGTCCCTTTTTTCTCTGTAGTTTCTTTTACCCTCTTGCTCTATACTTGTTCCTTCCCATCAGTATTTAGACACAATCATGTTTTCCCTTCTTTAAAAATAAAAAAAGTTCCCTTAGCTTTCCATCCCCCTCAAACATCTATCCCCTTCTCATCTTCAGAGCCAAGCTCCTTTGGACTGTCTTTTCTCACCTTCACCTTCTCACCTGGTACACTCATCACCTTACTGTAAATGGCTTCCATCCCACCGCTCACTGAAGGCATTCCAGCCACAGCCACTGGTGATGACCTTGTTGTCACATCTGTTAAATACCTTACCCTCTCTGTACTTGATGGTCCCGCAGAATTTGGCATTCTTCTCTTGGCTGCTCTAACACCACACTTACATGGTTTCCCGTTCTCTCTGGCCACATTAATTTCTCACAAGCTCTTCCAAAATGCTGGCTTTTCTCACATGTGTATATTCTGCCCTTTTCTCATACCATCAGCTCCTTGAGCAAAATGAAGCTTCTAATTGCCTCTCTGTGGATGACTCCCACGTCTCTATTGCTGGCCCAGTTGGCATTCCAGCTGTGTCTGAATTCTCTATTAGAATGTCCCCAGATGCCTCAAATTTAGCATGTTCCAAACTAAACTATTTCCTCCTAAAATATGGGGCTTCCCCTATGTTCCCTGCATCTGGCAAAGGTATTTCCATCTACCTGGTTGCCCAAGCCAGACTCTGAGTATCATCCTTCCCTCTTCATCCTCACCTCTCCAGTCCAGTCAATCAGCTCGGCCCCTGTGCATGGTGTTTAATAAGCTCTTGGAGCTGGGCATGGTGGCTCACACCTGTAATCCCAGCACTTTGGGAGGCCGAGGCAGGTGGATCACTTGAGGTCAGGAGTTCGAGACCAGCCTGGCCAATATGGCGAAACCCCATCTCTACTAAAAATACAAAAGTTAGCCGGGACTGCTGGCGTGTGCCTATAATCCCAGCTGCTTGGGAGGCTGAGGCAGGAGAATCACTTGAACCTGGGAGGTGGAGGTTGCAGTGAGCCAAGATCATGCCATTACAGTCCAGCCTGGGAGACAGAGTGAGACTCTGTCTCAAAAATAAAATAAAATAAAATAAGCTCTTGCTTCCAAGGAAACCCTCATCTAGTTGGTTTTTTAATAGAGTAGATTTTTAGTACAGTAAAACAGTCCGTGAGATTTTAAATTTTTTTCTGACTTTAAAATATTTATATAAATGTAGAAATTGTGAAATTTAGAAGAATATAAATCTAAAAAACAGTCATCTGTAATCCTACTTCCTGCCTAATGGCAGCTGTTACCAATATTTATATATATTGTATCCCACTGTGTCATGCGATATATATGAAATGTGTGTGTGTATATATATGTATGTGTGTATACATATATGTATGTATGTATATACATACATGTGCACATATGTAATATATAATATATATATACACATACACACATAACAGGTTGAGTATCTCAAATTCAGAATACTCCAAAATCTGAAACTTTGAGTGTCAATGTGATGGTCAAAGGAAGTGGTCTTTGGAGCTTTTGGGATTTCAGATTTTCAGATTTGTGGTGCTTAGCTAGTGATGCAGATATTCCAAAATCCCAAAAACCCTAAATCCAAAACACTTCTGGTCTCAAGCATTTCGAATAAGGGATACTTGACGTGTGTATACATATAGTTCAGAGTGTATTCTATATGTAGTTTTGTATTCTCCTTTTTTCTCTAAAGCTCATATTGCACATTTCTGTGGGATTCAGGTAAAAAAATCTCCACCCAGCCATAACACAACACAGATTTATACCAGAAAAGTAGCTAATTTTTGACTGCCAGGATTAAGCTGCTTTTGTGCAAAGTTATATGTTTAGCCCATGTGTTCCTGATGGTTAGCTTCCTCATTATGATCATGCATTACAAATGGAGGGGGATTCTCTTTTGTATTTTCTCTTAGGTAGTTCGAGGACACTACAAAGGTCAGCAAATTGGCAAGGTAGTCCAGGTGTACAGAAAGAAATATGTCATCTACATCGAGCGGGTGCAGCGTGAGAAGGCCAACGGCACGACCGTCCATGTGGGCATTCACCCGAGCAAGGTATGGTCAAGGACTGAGTGGCAATAGCAGCCATGGAGTGTGTCCATACTGTTAGAAGTTATTGGTGTTCGGTACTCCCTGCACAGGTGGCTGAGGCAGGCCACGTGGACTTGATTGATTCAGTAGCTTTGTGATATCATCAAGGATCCAGATTTTTCTTCTCTTTTCTATTTTGCCTTTCTTGGTGATGGTGTCTTTTTTTTTTTTCTGAGACGGACTCTCGCTCTGTCGCCAGGCTGGAATGCAGTGGCACGATCTCGGCTCACTGCAACCTCCACCTCCTGGGTACAAGTGATTCTCCTGCCTCAGCCTCCCGAGTAGCTGGGACTACAGGCACGCACCACCACGTCCGGCTAATTTTTATGTTTTTAGCAGAGACGGGGTTTCACCATGTTAGCCAGCATGGTCTCGATCTCTTGATCTCGTGATCCACCTGCCTTGGCCTCCCAAAGTGCTAGGATTACAGGCGTGAGCCACTGCGCCCGGCTAATGGCTGTCTAAGCTGGTTGCAAGAGGCTTCCAAGTGTTCCAGGCATCACTTCCTCCAACATATAATATTCAGAGGGATAAGAGAGAATATATCTTCCTGTAGCCCTTATGCCTACCTAGTGGAACTGCTACTTCTCCTTTGTGTTCCTATTTTATATTTTGTTATAGGATCTGTTTTCCTTCCAGAGTTTCAGTTCCTTAAAAGTTGAATGACTGGCGGGGTGCGGTGGCTCAAGCCTGTAATCCCAGCACTTTGGGAGGCCGAGGCGGGCGGATCACGAGGTCAGGAGACCATCCTAACACGGTGAAACCCCGTCTCTACTAAAAATACAAAAAAATTGGCCGGGCATGGTGGCGGGCGCCTGTAGTCCCAGCTACTCAGGAGGCTGAGTCAGGAAAACAGTGCAAACCCAGGAGGCGGAGCTTGCAGTGAGCTGAGATCACGCCACTGCACTCCAGCCTGGGCGACACAGCGAGACTCTGTCTCAAAAAAAAAAAAAAAAAAAAAGTTCCGCTTCCGGTGTCCCCTACAGTCATGGCTGCCGCCGTTGCTGCTGCCGGTGCCGGGGAACCCCAGTCCCCGGACGAATTGCTCCCGAAAGGCGACGTGGAGAAGCCTGAGGAGGAGCTGGAGGAGGACGACGATGAGGAGCTAGATGAGACCCTGTCGGAGAGACTAGGGTCCGGTCCGCGGCCGGAGCCACTTTTGATCTTTCCCTCTTTGTGGCTCAAAAAATGTACAGGTTTTCCAGGGCAGCCTTGTGGATTGGAACCACTTCCTTTATGATCCTGGTTCTTCCCGTTGTCTTTGAGACCGAGAAGTTGCAAATGGAGCAACAGCAGCAACTGCAGCAGCGGCAGATACTTCTAGGGCCTAATACAGGGCTCTCAGGAGGAATGCCAGGGGCTCTACCCTCACTTCCTGGAAAGATCTAGATTGTTACTGCTGTTTGAGCTGTCTCAGTGGGATAAGTTTGAAATTCAAGTGTTTGAACTGCTGATTATTTGGATTTTTTTTTTTTTTTTTAACTTTGGCACATTGATTTATCTAAACCTGGTGGGGAGAACTCTCTTCACATTGTCTCATGGAAAGACTCAACTTGCAACTGTGCGCTCCACACTATCCTTACTTCTGTCTTCACTCTGATACCAGAGTGCAGCCATGCAGACGGTTATTCCTGCTCTGACCACCCCACTCCTTTCACCAAATTGCTCCTAACTGGAAGATGTCACTTTCCCCTTGTGGGTAGGAACCGATGCCAGTGGGAGGGATGTGCCCCTGACCATTAACGACTGCCTTTTTTATTGTTTAATTTTTTTTTTAAAGAATGGAGCTGTTGGGGAGGGACATGCACGCAATGTGAAAGACAAAATGCATTACACCTGTAGTGTAAAGCGGCCACTGTGAATCCCTATGTATGAAGAGGAGGGAGGCTGGCGGCAGCTTCAGCCACGGAATGGGGACTGTGGAAGACAGATCAGGAGTTCATTTCCCCTGCACAGTTTGGTTGTTAGACCTGTGTGTGTGTTTAAAAAAACAGAAGTCAGTGCTCACTTTTTGTATTTAAATATTAAAAATTATCCCAACTGAAAAAAAAAAAAATGCTGAATGACTGAGGTCTTACTTATGATATCTATATTGCTCAATAGCTGGTGGCGATGTGGCAATAAAGATCTGTTTTCTCACTCCCAACAGGTGGTTATCACCAGGCTAAAACTGGACAAGGATCGGAAAAAAATTCTTGAACGCAAAGCCAAGTCTCGACAAGTTGGAAAAGAGAAAGGCAAATATAAGGAAGAACTTATTGAGAAAATGCAGGAATAAATAGAACCTGTTGTGCAACCATGGTTTAACCGGAGATTTTGAGGCTAGTGTGTGTTTCTTTCGAACTTTTCAGAATGTCTCTGGAATATTTCATTTCCTGTTTTGTTACCTGTGGCTCTGTAAATCTACTTTTGCAATTTTAATTAATTTATGATTAAAAATGGGAAATGCTTCCTAATTCCAAATAGTATTTGCATTGTTTTATAAATAAATTCCACTTACTGGCCAGGCGCAGTGGCTCACACCTGTAATCCCAGCACTTTGGGAGGCCGAGGCGGATGGATCACAAGGTCAGGAGACTGAGACCATCCTGACCATTTATTATTCATAAATAAATAAATAAATAAAATAAATTCCACTTACTATCAATTCCCCTTTGCCAGTCTTTTCCTGTTTAATGTGTGGAATAGCAAAATCGCAGGGATAGGGTGAAATGGCCCTCCTCTTGCCTGGACCCTTGTGCTGATAGAGTAGAAAGGGCAGGGCTCTAGTCCTGAAAAAAATATATATATAGACATAGAATATATATAGATATAGAATACATATACTATATAGAAATATATATACATATAAAATAGAATATATATGTATATATCTATATAGAAATACATCTATATCTATATAGAAATACAGACAGAGAGAGAGAGAGAGAGAGAGAGACAGGTCTCATCATCTTGCCCAGGCTGGTCTTGAACTCCTAGGCTCAAATGATCCTCCTGGGTGCCTCTCAAAGTGTTGGGATTACAGGCATGAGCCACCATGCTCTGGTCCTTGATGCAGGGATTTGCTTCACTCAGTAGCAGTCATAATGTGCACTGGCGCACTCAGGGCCCCACTGTCACATCGCAGGCCTGACGGATTGCTCTCTGGCCTCCTGACTTGTGCTTCCCCAGCTTTCTCTCCAAGTGCCAACCAAACCAAATCATGTAGCAGCTCCCTGACCAGGCTCATCTTCCCAAAGTTTTGACTTTGCAGTTGCCATTTTCATGTGACTAAAATGCCCCTTTTCCTCTGGAACTAACTTGAGAAACTGGCAGCCTACAGGAAAGATTTAACTGAGATACTGTTTTTCCCTATATTTTATAATTTTAAAAAATTTCCAACATTTAAAATGTGGGAGACTCCACAGAGAATCACCTGCTTCACCTGGCTGCACGGGGCTCTCCCTGTTTTGCAGTGTAAAGTGCAGCCGAGGGCTTAGCGGTTCCCTATCCCACCTGTGTTGCTTCCATACGCTTCTTACCTGGCCTCCACTGGCCTCTGCATTAGACTCCTGCTCTAACTTTCATTCTTCAAAATTTAGTTCCTTTGGCCAGGCACAGTGACTCATGCCTGTAATCTCAGAACTTTTGGACACTTGTGGGAGGATGGCTCGAGCCCAGGAGTTTAAGACCAGCCTGGTTAACTACTGAGACCCCACCGCTACAAAAAAATAATAATAATAGTAATAATAAATAATTTTTTTAATTAGAAAAAAAGATTTGGTTCCTTTGAGAGATACGTAGTGAATAAAGATTTTTAAAAAATTTATCTCCAGGGCCACATTCAAAATCCTCTGTCCCTATGGGAAAAAAAAAATTTTTTTTTGCAGCCAGTAGCGCTGCTTAGTGAGAAAAGCAGTATCACCAGCCATCGAGGTCTAATCCTAGCTCTGCCACTGGGCTGTCATCAGCTTTTAAGCAAGTTACTCATCTCTGGACTTCCAAACGGATGATAATACCTGCTCTGCCTTCCTATCTCATCAGAAATGTAAAGATAAAATGGCAAAAAACGGAGTCTCCCTCTTGCTTAGGCTGGAGTGTGGTGTCACTATCTCGGCTCACTGCAACCTCTACCTGCTGGGTTCAAGTGAACCTCCTGCTTCAGCCTCTCAAGTAGCTGGGATTACAGGCATGCGCCACCACGGGGTTTCACCATGTTGGTTAGGTTGGTCTCGAACTCCTGACCTCAAGTGATCTGCCCGCCTCAGCCTTCCAAAGTGCTGCGATTATAGGCATGAGCCACTGCACCTGTCCTAAAAATATATATATTTTAAGAGAGGGTCTTGCTCTGTCACCCAGGTTGGAGTTCAGTGGTGTGATCTCAGCTCACTGCAGCTTTGACAGCCCAGGCTCAAGTGATCCTCCCACCTCAGCCTCCCAAGTAGCTGGGACTACAGGCATGTGCCACCACACCCAGCTGATATTTAAAATTTTTTGTAGAGATGGGAGTCTCAGTATGTTACCCAGGCTAGTCTCAAATTCCTGGCCTCAAGTGATTCTCCTTCCTTGGCCTCCCAAAGTGCTGGAATTAGACATGAGCCACCGTGACTAGCCTAAAAAATAATAATGTATTGATTAAAATGTATCAAACAGCCTTTTATGACTTTCTAGTAGCGACTTATCTGACACACTAGAGTTTCTTAATAAATGTTAATTGAATCAGTGTTGTTTCCCATTTTGACTGAAGAAAATGAACTTAGGTTAACTGTCCAAATCATAGCATAAGAAATGAAGCCAAGATTTGAACCTGAGCCTGACTGCATCAAAGGCCATTCACTTCCCACATTAGCCACTTATCTTTAGTCTTCCTTCCTTCACTCTGTCAGCCTTTCACTGGAGTCTGGTAAGAGACTGGACATTTATGTGAAACAGACAAGAACCTATGTGTTTGCAGCCAGTAGCGCTACTTAGTGAGAAAAGCATTATCACCAGCCGTCGAGGTCTAATCCTAGCTCTGCCACTGGGCAGTCATCAGTCTTTGAGCAAATTACTCATCTCTGGACTTCCAAACGGATGATAATACCTGCTCTGCCTTCCTATCTCATCAGAAATGCAAAGATAAAATGGCAAGATCAGATGGGCCGTTTTTGAGTACTCTTTGAAAGCTGTGAGTATACAAATGTGAATTTCACTATCACTGTTCAGTTTATTTGTATGTACAATTCTGACATTCACTCTGCACTCAAAGAGGCAATTATTTTTCACAAAAGAAAATAGTGAGTTTGGTGGGGCGCAGTGGCTCACACCTGTAATCCCAGCACTTTGGGAGGCCGAGGCGGGTGGATCACTTGAGGTCAGGAGATCGAGACCATCCTGGCTAACACGGTGAAACCCCGTCTCTACTAAAAATACAAAAAAATTAGCCGGGCATGGTGGTGGGCACCTATAGTCCCAGCTACTTGGGAGGCTGAGGCAGGAGAATCATGTGAACCCAGGAGGCAGAGTCAAGATCACGCCACTGCACTCCAGCCTGGGCGACAGAGCGCAACTCTGTCTCAAAAAAAAAAAAAAAAAAATCAATGAGTTCAAAAACCACAAAACTCAAGATGTGTTCTCTGACTTGGCATTGATACATTGAACTCACTGACACAAGGTAGACAGATACTGTCCTGTCCCTGGAGTCAGACAGATTTGGGTTCAAATCCTGCTCTTGTCCCTGGGAGGTCATTTTTCTGATTCTCTGTTTTTCTATTTATGTAAAAAGCTGCCAGGCACGGTGGCTCACACTTGTAATCCCAGCACTTTGGAAGCCCGAGGTGGGAGGATCGCTGGAGCCCAGGAGTTTTGAGACCAGCCTGTGTAGCATAGTGAGACCCTATATTGCCAAAAAAATTTAAAAACTAGCTGGGTGTGGTGGCCCATGCCTGTAGTCCCAGCTACCCAGGAGGCTGAGGTGGGGAGGATTGTTTGAGTCCGGAAGGTCAAGATTGCAATAAGCCACGATGACACCATTGCACTCCAGTCCGGGCAACAGAGCGGAACCCTGCCTCAAAAATAAAATAATAAAACAGAGTAGGTGTCCATCATACAGCAGCTGTATAATCATTAACATGCTGAGCTCTGTATCTAATGAATGTAATGAGTAGGTTAACTAGTAAATTCTGAAATTTATATTTTCTAATTTGATTCTTGTCTTTGTTCTCAACCAATACATATTTTAGGACTGCAAGAGTTGTATGAAAGTCAGATTTCATACTAAACTCACAGCTCCTTACTCTGTAGTCTGATACCTGGTCTGAGCTCCAGGCTCCAGCCATTACTTTCATTAGTAAATGTAAGTTATGATATCGTCTAGGAATCAGACTTGGCTTGTTTTCAGCAACTTATTCCAACAAAAATGACCAATAAGAGCTTTGAGAGCTGTAATTCCCCTGTAGGTATCCAAATCATACCACACTGCTTATACTGAGCCAGGTTTATAATAATAATGCGTGATCAAGAGCAGGAACTAGGCCTCAAGTTGAGTTCTAATCTTAGCTCTGTCAGTTCCTAGCTGTGTGACCTTGGACAAACTGCTTAACCTCTCTGGACCTCAGGTTTGTCATTTATAAAATGGAGATAAAATTAGTACTTACTTCATAGAGTTGTCAGACTTATTACTTGAGATAACTGTGCATGAAGCACAGAGTGCTCAGGAAGTTGTAACTATTGTCTCTTAAAGGAGATTGGCAATGGAGTTCTTTCACAGGAACAGAAGGAAAAGTTTTTCTCTAGGGAGTTGAGACAAATACTGATTCTTGAAAAAAGGGAAGAGTTTAAGGGCAACAGTGATGTGTTTGGGCTGCTGCAGGAAATGAGGATTGGAGAATGCCAGATAGGTGGGCCTGCCTAACAAAGTTCAGGCCATGGGGTATTAGCTGGTTTTCTGGAATGAATGAATGATACAGTTTTCTACTGACCTTTTCATCACATTTGCAGATGTCCATTCCCTTGAGTGGTTCCCTTCTGCTATGCTGGGAAGATGCCAAACTTTTAAACTTTGTATAACTGCTTTTGAATATCTGCTTTCACATTGCATAGGCGTGACATGTTCGGCCACATCATTTCTTTTTTTTTTTTTTTTCACACAAGGTTTCACCATGTCGCCTAGGCTGGAGTGCAGTGGTGTGGTTTCAGCTCACTGCAACCTCCGCCTCCCAGGCTCAAGCGATCTTCCCACCTCAGCCTCCCAAGTAACTGGGACTACGGGCACATGCCACTACTCCCAGCTAATTTTTGTGGTTTTTGTAGAGACAAGTTTTCGCCATGTTACCCAGGATGGTCTTGAACTCCTGGGCTCAAGCAGTCCGCTTGCCTCAGCCTCCCACAGTGCTCGGATTATAGGCATGAACCACCGCACCCAGCAGCCACAGAACTTTTGATGTGAGTTGGATGGGCAAGTAATTGAATCTTCCAGGAGCCAGACAGAGCCCCACTAACCAAGAGCCCGCCATTCTCTGATGCTGCAGACTTGGAGCAGTTC